ACCCCGATCCTGATCCCCCTGCCCCAAATCGTGTCATCACAATGCTGAACTGAAATGTCACAAACAATAATAATCAGGACATCTATATTGGGGATCCTCCCATACCGGTCCTCCTTAGAGTTGTCAGATCTATCATCGGTTCGGGTACAGGTCCTGTGCTTTCAGTAGTACGGGCCCAATACTACCTTCCACACCTACCTGTACCTTTCCCCGAGGCCCTACCTGATAACTCCAGTTCGGCCCATAATAAATCATATACCACATATCACAGTATAACCCAAAACCCAGATTATCCTAAGATTTGTTCTACCCACATCAAACAGACCAATCATAACAGGTTGCCTTTATGCATGCAAATTATACACAGAAGAGGACCAAATAGACTTTCGAATAAAAGATTCTACCCTAGGACCACAACCATACAAGGAACAGGAAATAAGGCCAAATCAATCATTCTGAGGCTATAAGTAATAAGCTCCTAACCGTATACAGTTTTAAAAACATACACATAGCAAGTTCCACGAAATCAACAAACTCAATTATCAGTATAGCATGGCTAATACATTTAGGAACTACTTACTTGGCTCGGCTGATCACGCGCGTTGAACTCTCATCTTTTCATTTCTTTTGAAAATACTTTTAAATTATTATTATTATTATTATTATTATTATTATTATTTGAAAACAATTTTCACCGTCTCCTTAGTTTGAGTCCTGACACACTCGAGAGTGTGCCCGAATCCCTCAAACCAAGGCTCTGATACCAACTTGTAACGACCCATTTTTTTCAAAGAAAATTTTCATTTTTAGTTAACCAAAACCAATCTCATAAATCATAAATTCCCCAAAACATTTGTTTTCCAATCAACATTCATTACATCATTGTTTTCCTTTTTAAAACATCAGAGGGTCCCAACACACTAAAAAGAGAGATAGAGTGCACACCACGTCATTACGCCTTGCCCTTGCCCTTGGGCTCAGAAGTACCTGAAACAAATCAACAACCTGTAAGAGAAATGCTTAGTGAGTTTCCCAGAGCATACCACACACATTCACATACACATATCCTGATAGCTATTAAAGCTATAAACATGCCATATAAACCATGCAATACGATTCAGCAAGAATGCCATGGGCTACCCCACATGGTCTTTACCTAGGACTGCCATGGGCTACCCCACATGGCCTTACATCCAATGCCATGGGCTACCCCACATGGTCTTTACCTAGGAATGACATGGGCTACCCCACATGGTCTTATATCCAATGCCACGGGCTACCCCCGGGCTATTCTATACCAACATAATATCACATAACATATCAATTCATAAATTCATAACACACACATAACATGTTCACATAATGGGCCGGCCTTGGTGTCGTAGATCCATAGGTATGGTGAGAAGACTCAACTCCGTCCGATGAATTCGAATATTGTTCTCCTAATAATCCGCAACCTCCCGAGCTGAATAATAACAATAATAATATAATCAATGATAAGACCTTAAATTACCTAAGGAAAAGGCCCAACCTTCAAACTCTACCCCCAAGGCCCAATTACCCTTATCTTGCAAATGGGCCCCAAAGTCCAAGTCCAATATCCTTAATGGGCCCCTAACTCACACAATCCAATCAAGCCCAACAACCGAATGAGGCCCAAAGGCACAAAACAGCTTAGGGCCCAACTGAGCTGTGTACGCCCAGCGTACCACCCTGGTACGCGTTGCGTACTGATGGTTTAGGGACTACGCGCCGCGTAAAGCCAGTTACGCCCAGCGTACAACCATTTTAAGCACTTTTTCCATTAAGTGCTTAATGCTCGAATCCTTCACGTCCAAAAGCTAGATCTAAGTCTGAAAGGATGTCCTAAGGCATAAAGTTGGCAACTTTATGCCCTTGCATGTCTCAAACACACCCAACTACTCCATTAAGACCTTTCCAAGGTCTTTTACCCATGCATGAGGTTAAATCTCTCATCAAGCTTCCATTTTTATACTTCTAAATGACTAGGGGACCTCAGATCTGCCTTTCATATCAAATGGGGAGGCTTAGCTCAACAAAAGAGGTCCAAAGTTCATCAAAGGGACAAACCACCAAAACCCTAGCTAGATCTAAAGATTAGAAAGGAAAGATGCAAGCTTTTTACCTCCAGAAGCTTTGCAAGATGATTTTGGTGCAGGATCTTGAAGCACCCACTTGATCCAAGCTTGCTTGACTACCCCTTCTTCTTGAAATACACACTAAAAGGTCACAAATGTACTCTTTAAGGCTCAAGAATGATCTCACAAGGTTTCGAGGAGTATATGGACGTTCTAAGGCTGTGGAGGCTCTCTAGGGTTTAGTCCAAGGGACTTAAAGTTGTTTAAATAGGCCTCAAGTCCGGAATTTAGGGTTTTATGTCCCTGGCGCGTACGCCCCGCGTAACCCAAGGTACGCCCAACGTACCCTGATTCCTCCGCGACTACATCCATGCAGTACGCTAAGCGTACACTTAAGTACGCCCAACGTACTTAAGGGACCATTCATGCAAAATATGTCATTCTTAGGGTTTCAGGACATACCAGAATTTTGGATGTTACAACTTCTGGCCGTGAACAAGCCCAACCACCCCTCCAGGTGGCGTAAAACGACGGCGACAGCGGCAACACACGGCAAACACGACCGCAAACGAAGATAATGGAGCGTTTCCGGCCGGGAAACAGTGGCAATCCTTCACCCAAACCACGACCATAGCGACACAATAACTCCCAGCAGCAGCAACGACGTTCATGGTGTCCAGCATTGCGATGAACGACAGGGAAGAGAGAGAGGAAAAATGACGGTGATTGAAACAGCCGGCAGCAGCACCAGCTAGCGACGACAATAGCCCAAACGGCGGCAGCAACAATGACCCTGATGGCGGCAGTGGCTTCTCGGTGGTCCTCCGACTTCACAGACAAGGAACAATGGCCGGTGATGGGGGAGTTGGGAGGTGTGCGGCCGTAAACGGGAGGGATAAGGTGGGGGGTTGGCGGCTGAACATGATAGTGTTAGGGGTAGGGTTTTGGGGGTTATATACCCGCCTCCATGAAATTGATTGCCATAATGGCACTTAAGGCCCCTCCCTTCAAAATTATTTTCGAAATAAGCCCCCTATTTACCCTTTAAACCCTATTTTTTGAAATCCCATACAAATAAAGCTTGAAATTTACCTTTTTAACCCAGCCTCCTGAAATCCTTTACAATGTAAGTCTAATACTTAGCAAATAGCCCCTTGGCCTCCAAAATCTTTTCAAAATAAATTCCAAAATTACTTTTTAACCCCCGAATGATCTGATTTATAACATTTGGCTTCTTAAAACCCACTCCCCATTAGATAACACGGATTTAGGGCGACAATTCGTTCATCAATTTTATCTATATATTTATTAATTAAACAGGATGTTACACATATACAGTTTAAATTATTTAAAACATGTATAAAATCGTTCACCCAGCATAGATAGAAAGTATACAGGTTATATGCACACATAGCATGTAATTTATATAAAATACTTCATATCTATGTGTAAGATGACAGTAACTATGCACTCACTTGATAAGGTGGTGACTCGGTACTCGGACAGCGCTTCGTTTACTTTAAAATAATTTCCTTCGACGAAACCTAGTATTATTACCACTAGATTTTAGTCTAATATTTACCGTGACTAATTATTAGTCTTATTGTTATTATTATTATTATTATTATTATTATTATTATTATTATTATATAAGCGTTTAAACAATATTTTCCAACCACTATGTATAGACAGGGGCCAAAAATAAAACACCGGAGGACAGGATCATTTTGGCATATAGCACTTTTGAAATCCAACAACCCAGGAGGCCCTTCAAACCGGATTCCCCGTACCACGAGTGGTTAAAAAGATATTATAACGACACTTATATAACCCATAATACTAGCTCAAATAATTATTATAAGGTCCTAATAACGTTACTATATTTAAATAAAAGCTATATTAAAAATTAGGTAGACGTATCTTACCTACGAGGGGGTTTGGCTAGAAGCAGTGATCTGCAGGGGCAGAACTTCCGAGCCGAAAGCTCTTCTTCTCGGAGCCGTCGAGCGCTCCGGGGCTTTCTTCTAGCGCTAGGGGAGTTTTGGGAGGTTTAGAGAGAGAGAGAGAGAGAGTAGAGAGAGAAGGGTGGAGGTGTGAAGAAATGAGGGTGGAAGGGGTTGTATTTATAGGGTGAAGTATGGCTGAAGTTGGTGCCACATGTCACCATCTAGTGGCAAGCCTTGGGGAGAAAGCAATGGCCAAGATTGTGCCACATCACCCCTTTTGCAGCAGCACCCTGCCGACTTCTAAACCCCGTAACTTTCGCATACGAGCTCTGTTTTCGACGTTCTTTATATCCACGCGTAGGTAAAAATAAGATCTACAACTTTACTTTTGACTCCGTCGGCTAATTCTCGACCGATCTTAAATTTAACAGTATAAGGAGATTACACTATTAAATGTCTGCGTAAAATTCGTAACTTCTTCATACGGACTCCGTTTTCGTCTGTCTTTTTGTCGTTGAGTCCCTATTAATGAGATCTTGAATTCTCATTTAGGTCGTTTTGGCCAAAAACCGCTCAATCTAAAATTTAAGTTTCGGGCCGTGCACTGCTATGCCAAATCTTAGAAAAATCATAACTTCTTCATACGAAGTCAGATTTGGGCGTTCTTTTTAGGGAAATCTTCAAAAAAGTCCCAAACTTTTGGGAAAAGTTACACTTTTGTCCCAACATTTTTTTTAAACAAAAAACCCAGGAAACTGGGTAAATCCAACATTTTGGCCCTATTTTACCGGCAACCCTCATTTAGCCGGTTAAATTGACTTATGTGGCAAGGAGTTGCTTACGTGGGTTTAATCGATCTCATTTACACACACACACAACACAACTTACCTCTCTCATTTCACATTCTCCCTCCCCCTCAATAAACTAGGGTTTTTACCCCCGTGCAGTTGAAATCATGGATGACATCCATGATTTTGATACAATACATGTGGAGCTGGATGCGTACTTTAAAAAGAAACAAGCTTCCCAATGCAAAGACGAATTTCTCAATATTCTATGTGAAGAAGACGATTACGAGGCAGTAGATGATGCTCAAACTGAAAATGATGCTCAAACTGGAAACGATGCTCAAACTTGGATCACTAAAGAAGAACCAGATGAAGATTATCTGGAAGGTAGTAACGAGGAAGGTAGTGATGAGGAATTTGAGTATTCCACCCACAATCCAAAGGTGAAATGGAACAAAATGAGACCAATGCTTGGTGAAAGGTATGAATCCCCACATGAACTGAAATTGTGTTTGACCAACTATGCTGTTAGTAAGGGTTTTCGAATCCGTTTCAAAAAATGTGATAGTGTTAGACTAGTGGCAATATGTGGAAGTGATCCAGAGAAGTGTCCATTTGTGGTTAGGGCCTCTTGGATGAGTACTGAAAGGTCTTTCCAAGTCAAAAAGATGATAGACATTAATAAATGTGTTAGGAATTTTAACAATTCAAGGCTTATGGATCCTACCTGGTTAGCTAGGAAATTTGTGAAGGAGTTGATTAGGAAACCTAATTTAAAATGCAAAGAGATGCAGCTAATTATACAAAGTAAATTTCATTGCAAAATTTCATGGTCAAAGTGTTATAGATCAAGGATGAGGGCACTGTCATTAATTCATGGGAAATTGAGTGACCACTACGCAAGAGTTTGGGATTATGGGCATGAGCTACTAAGATCCAATCCAGACAGCACAGTTAGGATTACAGTTACTGTAAACCCTGATAATACCACAACATTTCATAGATTCTACATTTGCTTTAAAGCAATAAGAGAGGGGTGGAAAAGGGCATGTCGTAGGGTAATAGGATTGGATGGTTCTTTTTTGAAGGGACAATGTAAGGGTGAACTGTTAACTGCAATAGGTAGGGATGCCAATAATCAGGTGTATCCTATAGCTTGGGCAGTTGTTGATGTAGAGAACAAGAACAACTGGAAATGGTTCCTGGATTTGGTTAATGATGATCTTGGATTTCAGGGTGGAAAGGGTGTGTGTGTAATCAGTGACCAACACAAGGTAAAGTAACTATCTCTTTATTTTTCATTATTTACAATAGTGTATGGTGTTGCTAATTAACTTTTTATTTTCATGTTGTAGGGTCTTGTTGAAGCTAGTAAGGATATTCTACCATATGTTGAGCGCATGCAATGTGCAAGGCATATCTATGCCAATTTCAGAAAAGTTTATAGTGGAGTGCAGTTCAGAAACATGTTTTGGGTAGCTGCAAAATCTACCACAGAAGGAGATTTCAAGTTTAATATGGAAAGGATTAGGGCAATAAGTTCTGCTGCTTATGATCATCTCATGGCAAGGGAACCAACTTCATGGTGCAGGGCTTATTTCTCTACTGGCTTGGCTTATGAGGCTGTAGAGAATGGGATTGATGTGTGTTTCAATGCAATCATTGTAGACGCAAGAAAGAAACCTTTACTGACTATGCTTGAAGAGATTAGGCTTTACATGATGGAAAGGTCTTTCAATCTGAAACAAGAGGCTGAAAAATATGTTGGTGAAGTTTGTCCTTCCGCGATAACAAAGATGGAAGAATTTGGAGAAGACATTAAGTAAGTATTCTCAATTGTTTTGTTTTTACATGTTCTATCTTATGTGTTTGCATCTTATGTTCTATCTTATATGTTTGCAGAAGTTGGTATGCAGTTCCAAGTCGAGTGAATGAATATGAAGTAAGGAATGGGTTTCAAAACTATGAAGTTAACTTGAAGGAAAAAAGTTGTGCTTGTAGATTATGGGAACTTTCAGGAATACCATCTGTGCATGCACAAGTGGCAATATTGTACACCAATCATGATCCAGTTAACTTTATAAGTAGTTGGTTCAGCAAGAATAATTACAAGGCAACTTATGATCAGAATATACACCCAATTAATGGAAGTATCTTATGGGAAGAAACAAGTTACACTAAGCCCTTTCCACCCATTGAAAGGAGGATGCCAGGAAGGCCTAGTGTTAAAAGAAGAAGACATGTTTCAGAAAATCAAGACAAGTACTCTCAAGTGTCAAGCAAGGGTAGAACTGTCCAGTGTAAAATTTGTCTACAAAGGGGACACAATAAAACATCATGCAAGAATCCTATAGTGGTTCCAGAACCTCAACCAAAAAAAATGGTCAGGCCTAGGTTGGAACCTGATTTGCTTAATTGGTCAGGAAATAAAACAGGATCTAGAGGTGGTGGAAGGGTTGGTGGAGGAAGGAGTAGAGGTGGTGGTAGGGGATCTAGTGGAAGAGGCACTAGAGGTGGTGGTAGGGGATCTAGTGAAGGAGTCCAAACAGAATATGGGGAGGGTACTTCTGAGATTCCTAAATGTGAGCCTGAACATGTTGCCATTCCAAATGTTGAGAGTGAAAATGATGCAAGTCCAGATTTTCACAGTCATATAAGCTTAACAATTGACAACCTAAGGAAATCTTTATATACTACAGAAGAGATCATGGACTGTCTTGGACTCAGTGAAGCAGAATTACAACAAATTGAAGGTCTTGGATTGAGTGAAGCAGAAGTACAACAAATTGAAGATGTGGACGTTGCTATGTCACAAGTATGCTTTCTCATCATTCATTTTGTGATGTTAAATCTTGCTAACTAGCCTTTTTATTATGCTTGTTACAGGATGGTGGAATTGCTAGCCAAATAACAGTTGAAGAACTCCCTACAACTCAAGCACTAGGAGATGAGGAAAGGATGAATGAGGAGGATGGCATAGATGAGCCAGGGATGGGTGAGGCAATGATGAATGAGGAAAGGATGGATGGTGAGAGAGAAATACCTATCACACAACAATTGAATCAAGTCAGAAGGAGGCCTACAAAGAGGAGCAAAGTGAATCAAGTCAGAAGGAGGAAGCCTTCGGAAAGGATAACAGAGATCAAGTTGCAAAAGGTGGTAGATGTCAAGAATAGAAAGGGGATGAGTTCATCCAACCCCCTTAGTCTAGATTAGGGTGTTTCTAATCCCTACTTTTGTTAAGAACATGTATACAACTTTTGGGTTTGGGAAAATGTTGATAGCCCTTTTTGTTGATAAGCCTCTACTGTTGATAGCCCCTTTTGTTTACATCCATATAAACTATAGGCTTTGGGTCCCTTGATCCTGTTTTTGGGCATTTACACAACTTGCCATAAAACTTGTTTGGCTTTGGTGGATATTACTACATGTTCTATGATTAACAATGTTTATGTTCCCTTTGTTTATATTGATTCCTTGTTTTATAGATTCCAGTCATGCATACATTACTTGTGCTTACAATGTTTGCTTATATGGATACTAGTTATGCATGATTCCGGTCATGCATGATTCTGGTCAAGCATGATTCCGGTCATGCATGATTCCGGTCATGCATGAATGACTCCATTATGTATTGATTCATTTGTGTTTAAGTCCATCATTAACTTATTACAATCATACTTTGATTCCATTCATTGATTACAATCAACACATTTGAAGTTCATACATAATCTACATACTTCATTCATAATCGTATGAGTCACAAGATACTACATTCATAGTAAAGTAACAACCCTTAGTCATAACCAAAACATACACAACCAAAATACATTAAAACAACTTTCTATCCTACCAATCCATCAGCATAACCAACAAAAACACAAAAGAAACCATAGAGACATAAAGCAATGATTTCCATCTTCCTCCTTCCACTGCTTGTTGTGCAACTGGTTGTTATGCCATTGGTTGTTCCACAACGCCTCCAAAAAAGTTCCCATCTATTTGTTCTTGCCCAAACTCCCCAAACATTCGATGGTTCTCCAAATTGACATTGTTGTGTAATACTAATAACATATCTGCATACCACTGGCTTGGTAGAGGAGGATCCACCCAACGAAAGTACTTGCAATCTTTGAGTCCATTATGGTAATTTGGGCATCCTATAAACCTTCTTCCTGGGTTTAATGGAGTCCATGAAGTCCATCTTCCTACAGGATCACCACAGTAGCACCTCTTTCTGAGACAATTCATTGAAGATGAAGAAGACGAAGAAGACATTTGTCTTGGTCCTCCACTGCTCCTGCTTCAATCGTTGTCTGCTAGGTCACGAATGAAGTTTTCCACTATATTTAGACTTTAATACAAGGCCATTAAATGACTCACCAACCACCTCAGCAAGTCCTTGCCACATAAGCCAATTTAACCGGCTAAATGAAGGTCACTGGTAACATAGGGCCAAAATGTTCAATTTATCCGGTTTTCTGGGTTTTATTGTTCCAAAAAAATGTTGGGACAAAAGTGTACATTTTCCCAAAAGTTTGGGACTATTTTGAAGATTTCCCTTCTTTTTATGAACGCTCTCGGTTTAACGTATACTACAACTTTTGTTTAGGTTACTAAGGCTAAAAAGTCATCTATCGTAAATTCACTATTTACGTTGCGTAGTGTCGTGTCGGTTCCGTCGCGAAACTTCGACGGGCCATAACTTCTTCGTTATAACTCGGATTTCGGCGTTCTTTATATGTACGGAACCCTTGTGACATATTATACAACTTGGTTAAGATTACTTCTTCTAAATAATCTTCCATCAAAAACTCATTTTTGATGCTCATCGTCTCTACATTGACTAGCCCGAATTTGCGGGCGTTACACAAGATGATGGAGAACGGTGAGGTTACACTTCCATCTGACGCAACATAAAAGGAAAGGAGTCTGGCTCACGACTTCATAAAAAAAATGCGCTTCTCAGGAGGCAACCCGACGTTTTTACTGAGTTTGCATTTTCTTTTGCTTTGGATTTTTAGTTTTCAGTTTTCTTTTATTTTTATGAGTTTATTTTTGTTTTTGTTTGACCGAATGATGATGTGTTTCTTTATTTTTGTATCTCATTTTGTAGTAAAGTAGCTGAGGAGCTTAAACGACAAAAAGTCGTGAGAAGTTTTAAAGAAAATCGAAGACCACAATTTTGAATAAGTGTGGGGTGCATGTCACCTTGACAATAGTTTAGTGAAGACTTCGGGGGATAAACAAAAGATTAAAGCTCTCTAGTGATGAATTGAAGAATTTCCAGAAAAAGTGGGACAAAAACTGTTTTCGAAACCTACCAGTAACCACGATGTGGCCATCACTATGACACACCGTGGCGATAATTATTTTCGCGATCAGACTTTATCATCCTCGGTCCCACGACGTGACCATCATATTCCAACGCCGTGGTGCATTTTTTTATCGCGATTAGAGTCTTTCAGATTCGACTTCACGATGTGGCATATTCTTTCTCACGTCGTGACAATTTATAATGCATTATTTTGAATATTTTTTGTACCATCTTTTCGAAGTTGACGTTTTTGGTTCACATTTACAAGAAGCAGCAGGAGTCCATTTTCCAGCTGACGATTTCGAGATGTTCGAGCTTTCCCACCAATGATCAAATTCGATGTTGCCACTACTACCCCATGAGAGTCTGTTCATTTTTCTCCTTCTTATTGCCTTTTGTGTGCTTTAATTGTTTTATGCATTCAATGAGGTCATTGTATGAAATAAGCGTGGGGTACAGGGTCAAAAAAGGGATTTACAAGCATAAAAATAAAAAGAAAAATGCTAGAAATTTATAAATTAATAGGCTTGCAACAATAGTCTAACAAATCTAGTCATTTTTAAAAAAATTTAATATTATTGCATTTGGGCTAGTTTTCTAGTATTATGTGGGATGATTCGATGAGAACACTAAGATTTAGTTGAGCTAGTATGTTATAGTGTATTTGTGGCTTCCTAGTCTTAGTGAAATCGTGGGACAAAAATGCAATCCTATTTAGTTTGAAGGACATAATATGTTTAGCATCGTGTACCTGAAATGTATCAGGAGAGCTTATGTATGCACTTTAGACTAATACCTTTAACCAATAAGGGTTGAAATTATGTTCCATTGCTTAAGCATAAGTTTTTATTTTTTGGTTTTTAGTTTTTAAGTGAAAAAAGTGAGAAAAGAAAAATAAAAGTGAAAAAGTTGTTAAAAAAAATAGAAAAAAAAGTTGTAAAGTTTGAGTGAATAAGAGTCTACAACGTTATGAAGATCAAGAAATATGAAGAAAAGATTCAAAAGTTCCAAATCATTGAAGACTCAAAGATGAAGAAACTCAAGTCGAAGAATAAGGCAAAATTGCCAAGTTATTTTAATTGTAATTTTTCTTTCTAGGTTATTTTTCCATATGTATGCTTGGGAGCTTAACCAAAAATACCTTGAGGTTAAGAAATATTTTTGGGGATGGATTCGGAGGGATACATAAAATGAATTTTGTTAAAAATAAGTGAGAAACGTTTATGAGGATCGTAAGTATTTAGGGTTGGGAGGTAATTAGGATTTAGACACAAATACATGCGTTGAGGTAAGGCATAATTAGTGGGTTCAATTCGGATTGTCTTGTGTGATATTGGTGACATGGTTATATGTGATGTATTAAATATAAAGTTGTGTTTGAGGGCAATCAAAAGACAAGTGTGGGGTATTTTGATAGTGCCATATTTATACATATTTCTTGACATTATTTTAATACATTTTAAGCTATAATTTAGTTAATTGCAAAGATATTTGGTACTTATAATGTTTAAATTGTATTTTGCAGCCAAAAGTGGACATTCTCGAAGAAAAGGACTAAAACTGAAAAAATCTGGATACTTGGAGGAGTGGAGCTGAAAAATATACAAAAAGGATGTTGCTGGACAACTTGACCCTCGTCGGTATTTTGGCCATATCTCATTACTCGTAACTCTAATTGACAAGATTCAAAAAGTTCCGAAAACTAGACAAAATTTCAGACGACTTTTTTTTTTGTGCCAAATGTGATATCCTAGTTCTCACGATGTGAGACCTCTTATCTCACGACGTGAGAATAAAAAAAATCACCGAAAACTCTCTGTGTCGATCTAGGAGTTCGTATACGACAAGGAATCACATCACCACGATGTAGCATCTATACCCCACGCATTGACAATTGAATTTTAGGCAACTATATATATATATATATATATATATATATATATATATATATATATATATATATATATATAGAGAGAGAGAGAGAGAGAGACTTTTGGTCGATTTCAGAGGTTATATGCCAGAGGGCTGTGACAATTGATGAAGGAAAACCTTTCCAAGAACCCTTGGAGGGAAAAATTCAACTAGAGATTAAAGGATAAGGAGATTGGAGCAAGGATTCACACATATTCATTTGGTTTGCCTAGCATAATCATGTTTAGCCTAGTTTTCCTTTTGTTTATGTGTTTTTCCGCTGTGATTATGGGCTAATAACCTTTGCTTTCATTTAGATTAGATGAACTCCTAAATACTATGTGTTGATTTCATAATTGATGGATTTATATTTGCTTTAAATATTGTTTGATAAATCTAAACCTAGCTTGTTAGAGTTTCTATCTTTATTGCCTTGCGTAAAGATTGTATAGTTAAACTGCAGTTAATTGCATGAACTTGGTTTACCTAGTTGTTTATAACCATTAAATTGCTAGAGCTAGAGATTGACCATATCCTAGTATATGTGATAAGTTATTTGCTTAACTGTGTTAGAGAGCAGTATTTGATCATAATATTTGCTTGATTACTAGACTTGATCATAGAATAGTAGTCTGTAGATTCTATCATTTAGAGTCCAAATTATATTTAAAACCAATTTAGTGACTTTAACTCACATGATCATTGGCGGTTAAAGTTAATAAATTGACTTATGTTAGTTACTCGGATCAAGATGACTAGTAATTTTTTTTGGTAACTAACGGAATTAATCCATTGTTTTAAAATCAACCATAGGAAATATGAAGGATTCGAAGTTAAACGAAAGTATCATTTATTCTTGGTTTTAAATCGTCTTTTTAGTCATTAATTAGGTATTTTAATTTAAGTTTTTCTGAACTTGTAAAATCAGATAAAACCTCATTTTAGTTGTTTTCCTTAGTTTAACTTTTAGTAGTTATTTTATTAGCTATATACCGTTCCCTATGATCGACACCCGACTTACTTAAACTATTATATAATTCGACTAGGTACACTGCCTAGGTGCATTCTAGCTAGTTAAGTTCGTTAGCTTATAAATTTAAAACTAGTGGTAGTATATAAATTGCACATCAGTGTTAAAACATACACATGATGGGTTTGGATTAATTTGATTTCAAAATCCTAGTTCCACTAAGATGCTAGACAGGAT